CGGTGTACAACCCGAAATTCGAATTTTAGATCGATTGATTTTTAGCCGACACAACCTAAACAAGAATCGAAGATCTCGTTATTAGTAGCGTAACGATAAAAATACAGACGAAAATGGACATCGGATAAAGAAGTTATGAGATTTTAACGGACCAATCCTGTCCCGGCCTGTTAAAAATATAACTTTAAAAATAAAGTCAAAATTAGCCGACGGAGTCTAAACGAAAGTTGTAGAGTACGTCTCCACCTACGCGTGGATATAAAGAACGTCAAAAACGGAGTTCGTATGAACGAGTTACAAATTATAATAGCATATTTACGTATTAAAATAAAGTATAAATCATGTATACGTACATATATATATACATATGTATATATCATTAGAAAGGTATCGACGATGCGGTCATTATAAGACTAATGTTGAGTTCTTTCGACATTAGTTTAGTACAAATATCATTAAATCCATTTAAAATAGTATTATAGAGGGGTGTTTAGTTGTTTATATAACTAAAAGGTCATTAAGTAATTATGGAGGGTAGTTTTTGAAAATTCAATTAGTATAAATAAGAGCCTTGGGCTCTCATATTTCTTGCACCATTCTCTTGATTCAAGAGTCTTTCTCTCCTTATCCCCCGAGCATTTCGGTCCCTCGTGATTCGACTTCTCTTTCTGTAGTTTTAGTATAGTAAGGTGAGCGCTGAAGCGCTGCACGAATCTTTCTTAGAAAGATTCAGCGACGAAGTTCTGCCCCTGCAGAGCCCGACTCCTAGCTAAAATCCCCTTGAAAGTAAGTTATGCTTACCCTATTTTAAATATAGTTTATATTTAAAATTAGTATTGTTATTATAAATTTATAATAAATATTTGAGCTATTATTATGACTTATATAAGTGTCGTTATAATATCTTTTAACTACTCGCGGTACGGGGAATCTGGTTTAAAGGGCCGCATAGGGTTGTTGGATTTCAGAAGTGCTATACGCCAAAATGGTCCTGCCCTCCGGTGTTTTATGTCTGGCCCCTGTCTGTACATAGTAGTTGGAAAGTATTGTTTAAACGCTTATATAATAATAATAATAATAATAATAATAATAATAATAATAATAATAATAATAATAATAATAAGACTAATAATTAGTCACGGTAATATTAGACTAAAATCTAGTGGTGATAATACTAGGTTTCGTCAAAGGAAATTATTTTAAAGTAAACGAAGCGCTGTCCGAGTACCGAGTCACCACCTTCTCAGGTGAGTGCATAGTCCCTTTCATCTTACACATAGATATGAAGTATTTTAATATAAATTACGTGCTATGTGTGCATATTGTCTGAATACTTGCTGTCTATGCTGAGTGAAAGATTTTATACATGTTTTAAATGATTTAAACTATATATGTATTTTATATCTACGAAAATGTTGGGGTAAAACATGGGTAGATATAATAGATGAAATATGAGTTGGATGATGAGTTGAGAGGTGATATAGACTATAAGGTGTGGGTGAGAGGTGTACGATGTGAGAAGCCTTTTTCCCAAACGATGTCCCCGTCATTCAGCAGAGTATGGATGACAACCACGGACTATCCTAGATAGTCCAGTGGAACACTATCAGGCTCGCAACCTGTAGGTGTTGTGAACGATGTGTTCACCCGGTGTACTCTAAACCTTGGTGATCATGCAGACTTGATACCTAGACCCTGGCGATCATGCAGACTTGGTGCCAAAACCTTGGCGACTATGCAGACTTAGTGCCTATTGTATAAATTCTGGCGACTATGCAGACTTAGTGCCTAAACCCCGGTGACGATGGACTTCGTGCCGATTCCTTAGGATGATCCTTAGGAATGTATGAACGAGGAATAGTTGATTCTTAGGGTAGATCCTTAAGAATAAAGCAGATAATAGGGATGGGTAATTGGGTTGATTGTTTGATTGTTTGAAAATAATAATTATATTATTGTGGGTTGAAAACCCTATGTACTCACCAGGTTTCCCAACCTGACCCACTCAGTTTATTTATATCACAGGTGTTGATATGAAGTCACATTACACTGAGAGATTTAAAGAGATGTAGATCACTAGTGTAAATAAATGTAAGTTCTGTTTATGCTTATGTTTTTGTATTAACGATGACATCCCAAATGTTTTAAAATGAACAAAATACGTTTCTTCGAAAATGTTTTAAAAGCGTATTTATCATGTTTTTCTGGGAACAAATTCCGCAACATTTTTATTAAAAGAAGTACTCTGATTTTTATAAAACATAAACAAAAATCGGTCTTTTCTGGCCGTGAAAATGGAGATGTCACAACCAACACACTACAAAATAAACAAGCATGCAAATATGAGCCTTCAGCCTGATTGGACTATCTCGCAAAGCCTACAACCTATCTGGACCGCTCTACAAGCCTTCAGCCTGATTGGACATATTTTTGACATATTTTTGGAACAAATATTTTGGCAGTGACTTGGTGAAAAAGTATGCATGATTCTCTTTTGATCCAATATGTTGCAGATGAATCTTTTGGATTGTTGTTTGTTCATGTGTAACGAAATTTTATCTCTTTTGATGTAACCATGTTTCCCTTGATCAATAACAACACTTTTATCTTCATATATAAAAAATGGTTCATTATGATCATAAGTTAAATCACATGTAAATCGAATATGACTAATTACAACTTGAAGTGTTACACACTCTCTAATCGCCAGCGTGAGTAGTTCAAAGTGATTCGTCGAAGTAGCAATTAGAGCCTGTTTATGAGACCTCCAAGATATCATTGTGTTACATATGATAAATAATTTGCATTAACATAGATGACAAGGACCACGTTATTTCGAGTACGGGGTAGATCCACTCAATGACATGTAGGGATGGATTAAACCCATATTCGTAGTACCTTTAAGGTAACAAAAGATCTCTTTAATGCCATTCTAGTTAGAGTGAAAATTTTCAACATGACTCGTGACACATTGCAAACCCAACACAAGAATAAACAAGTTTGGGTTGAGATTTCTGACCCGCCAACATGACAAATAAATGGTCGTGTTCGGGTTAGTATTTGGGTTCACGAGTCAACCCACTAAACCATATATTATTGATTTTTTATTCTGAAAGAATATTATCGTTTTAACTCATATATGTACACTCATGGCTCAATATCTCTTCATTCTCTTCCTTTGGATGGAATGGGTCATTTTTAATGTCTAGAGAACGAACGATCAAGAGAGTAGGTGACTGGCTTTGGTAGTAAATGTTTTATAGAGAATGAGTCATGCTTATATTTTTTATAATCTTTAAAACAATAAAATTTGCTATAAATATTTTTTTTTGTTAAAAAGAGATTGAGCGAAGTTGGTTGATAATAACTAATAAGCAACAAAAAAAATAAAAATATTTGAGTTTATATATATTGATTATATGTAAAAGAGAAAGATAAATAGACAAAATCTTTTGACATTTAAATAGTTAGATCATAAAAATATAATCTTTATAAATTAGTAGTTGGTAACCTCAACAAACAAAGTAAAAAGGAAACATCGTATACAGACGGTTAAAAGTAACTAACGATTAAAGTACCCCTAAATCACTAGGAAAAATTCCCACAGATTTTCTTACCAATCCTTTTATATAGATTATTATAGATGACGCAAGAATATAGAATCAACATCCCACATCGCCTCCGAAGTGCAAATAAATCGGCGATATAACAGAGTCGGAGAGATTGGTAAGCACGACCTTACTTGAACAGGATCTGTTCTATAGGCTCGTACCTCTGTATTCTTGATTCCTAAGAAGACAGAAACCCATATCTGGTTGATGAACCACGATCATGTAGCCAGAGCGTGATTAACAGTGCTTCATGGCCTCGGCTATGGCATCAGTAGATGATCGTTGCTAATCCATCTGATGGGTCTTGGCATGGCTACATGATTGTCTGACAGACAACTGAAACTTTTTTTTTTTTTTTTTGGTGCCCGGTAAGTGTTCGATGAAATGCCTGAAAGAGAATAATCACAGTTTATTGAGAATTGAGGCCTTGTCGATGGGCTACACTTACAATATACTGTGCAGGAATATGGCATAATGCAGAAGTAAGTTAACAAAATTACATTATTACCCTTTTTGCTGATTCAACATTTCAAACTCGACATTTGCACTTATGTCTACTTTGTGCATTGACTTTGTTCCTGCTACCATTCATCTTCTATCCACGTTATTCCATGGTCATTTACCACCTATGCTTTAATAGTTTCTTTTTTATAATCTAGAGAAAACTACATTTTTTGGTCATTGAGTGTAACTTATTTCTTTTGCAATTCGGTGCTTATTTAAGGTTCTTGTAATGTTTTTTGGTCCACAAGTATAGCTGATTTTTCCAAATTTGATCCCAAGAATATAGTCATTTTACTTTAAACAGGAACCAACAACGTGACAAAAATCTCACATAAGGACCAAAAATATAACTTACTCTAATCTATAGTTTTAAATTCACTTATGGATCTTTTTTACTTTTAGAGAAGCAAAATCTCAAACCAATAAAGGGTATTGTGTCCCAAATACAGTGATTGAAGGAAACAAGAATACTCAAGTTGTAGAAAAACACTTCACATGTCAAGATAGCGTATTTGCTGTTTTCCCAACAAGGGTGTGTAGGGGAGAAAAAAATGTGATGGATGTGATAATATTAAAACCAATGATATTTGCTATAAATATTTTTTCTAATAAGAGATTGAGCTAATAAGTTGGTTGATAATAACAAATACGTAACAAAAATAAAAACACTTGAGTTACACACAACCTTTGAATGTACAATCGATGAACAAAAATCACAAATGACTCCACATTTCACATTCGCAACAGAACTATCAAGAAACCAAATGGGTAAGAAAACACCAAAGAGAGCTTTTTCTTTTTCACTCACCAACATTCTCATGAGAAAAAAGATAATGTAGAAATAGTAATCTAACTAATAAAAAAAAATGTAAAACTTGTAATACATGTCATACCAATTCAATCTCATCAACAAAATAACCACAATAAAGTTCTTGAAACAGTTTGATTAGTTATTACATTACACAAGAAACATTTCCAAAATTTCCAACTTCTTTTTCAAGTTCCAATAATCTACGAACAATCAGCAATGGTTCCCATTTTATCAAAGTAACGAAATTCCAAAATTGAACAATGTTTAACCTATCTTGCTTGTGTCACACATCCTATGCTTCTATTTTTTGTAGGAAAATTGTAAATGGGGTAACAATTTATTTTATTGTATCTTCAAAAATTGATGTCTCATTTCTCATTCATGAATCATGTCTATCTAGAAACTTCTCAATCACAACAGAAAAAGCAGCAAATCCTGCACAACCAACACAAGCTGCCTTTGGACCTCCTGAAAAAAATCACCAATACAAAATCTTTTACATTAAATTAACACACAAACTAATTTTCGTATAAAAAATATATCAAAATAAATAAATAAATAATACCCTTTGCAGAAATTGCTCCCCCAGTCACACACCCAGCTGCAACTGTGTTTGTCATGTCATGTTTTGCTCGTGCCTTTAAAGAAACAATCAGCATCAATGGAGATGAAAGAAAAAAGAAAGGAAGAATATATTGCTAAAAAAATTGCATCTTGCCTTTTCAACAACACATTCAGCAGCTGAGAAGATAAACCCCATAACTGCAAAAGCCTTACAGGAACCCCAGCTCCTTCTACCCATCTGTTTTGCAGTATAGATAAACTGTTGTCTACCACTCATCTCATCTTGCATTATTGGATTATCCAATGCACCAAGAAACAACCCCATAGCTAGCCCTAGTCCACCTCCTGCACCATTTATCACAATCCAGTTTAGGTCATGGTGTGTTAGAGATCTTAAGTTTGTTGATCTGAAACAAATTGGAAGTTGGAACTAGAACTGGAATCGCATCAAAAGTTGAACTTTTATTAGCTTGAAGTTCGGTTCTTATCGTTGAAATCAATGCTCTTAAATGCAAACAGAAAATCAGGTTGATTTACAACCAGCAATTATCGATTTGTAACCCTTGCTAAGATTATGCAACAATTTTACACTTGACACAGGTTACCTTATGACGTTAGAACAAAAATAAAAATCTATTCGGTTTTCTAGCAAATTGAAAAGAGGAGCTTGTTTAATTTGGGGCCAATGTAAGAAAAAGGATGAAGAAAATACAGAGAGGTTAGAAAGAGGAGAAGGATGAGGGAGACAAACCCATGACGCCGCTAGCAACGCTACGAACAGCACAGTTGTTCCAAATATCTTGGCCTCTTACTTCTTCGATTGTAGGCATTCGAATTGGTTCTATTGTACTCTTCTCTGCTTCATTTGTGTTTGCAGCAGGAGGAGGAGGACTAGTGGATGAATCTTCGCTCATTTTGTCGTCGGCCGTGTGCTTAGCTCCGTGTTATGCTCTGCAGCCAACGGAGAAGAGATCAAATTACTCGGAGGAGGCGGAGATGGGAGGGAGGATCCAAGGAGGTCTTGGATTTGGAGGGTGGGTTTCTTTTTCTTTTACTAAAAGGAAAAGAAAATCCGACAGAGCACTGTTAGGGTTTTTGATCGTCTTTCAACTTTGAATAGACCAAAATTAATGGGGATATTTACGAAAATCATCGTGAGATTTTAGACGAAAAAAAAAACTAATTTTTTAGGCATTTGTAAAAATAACTATAAGATTAAATTTCTTGTGGTTCGGAAAATATCATAATTTTAACCTAGGTTTTTAATTTTTTATCATTAGTCCTATTGTTTTTAAATTTTTTGCAATGTTAGTCCCGCTCCGTTAACGCATACATATTCTGACAAACTGTCCATTGCTGATATCCCGACAATCAATCACAAATTCTGGAAAACCCACACATTGTGATTCCAATCAAACACACATACACATGTATTGATTCCAATCAAACTCAGACATTATGCTTCCAATCAAACACGTATATTGTGATTCTGACAAAAAAAAAACAAAAGCATTGACTTCGAGTAAAACACACACATATTGATTCTAATCAAACACACATATACATATTGTGATTCCAATAAAACACATTCACACACATTGATTCCAATAAAACACATTCACACACATTGATTCCAATCGAACACATAGAGACTTACACAATGATTCCAACCAAACACACAAAGAGTCTAATCGATTTTGACAAGCTTGTTTAAAGGGAAAAGTTTGAGAGTCATGCATTATTTCTAACTGAATGTCTGCTTACATGGAAAACACGAGTGGAGGGTTCGATGAAGAATTAACAACAAAAGATTTAGGAAGAAAAGACAAAAATAAATAAAATAAAATAAAAAATAAAAAAGGTCTGAAATTCTATAAACTTGTGACAGTTTTCTTAGAAAGCATGCATATAAATTCAGAAATAAATTGATCGGGAAATAAAGTTGATTTGTGTGTCATTACTTTATTGCATCTTTAAACCCTACAATTCTATAAAATAATTTGGTGTTAAAGTTGATTTGGTTTTGATAAACACTAGTCAAACCAAGTTTATAATTGTAAAATTAATATGATTCAAGCAAATTTAGATATATTGATTGTTTAATCTATGAATTACTCAACAATAAATAGTATATCAATTTATGTAACATCCCAAATATCATGATAAAAAATTTCATTTTTCAAAAACCATTTTATAAACCACACGTCATACAGAACGATATTTCCAAAACATAGTCATGAAAATCATAGTATCTAAAAAATTCATTTGCCTTCGTCTTGCCCCGATCATCTGATGTACTTGAAACCATGAAACAGGTCACCTATACAATAAAAAGGGACCAAACCTCAATGTACGACTCAAATTACTTCATTTGACCTAAAGTCAAACTTGGTCAAAGTTAATGGTTACCGGTCAAAAAGTCAAAAGTCAACATCCAACCAGATTACACAATGCGTAACAGCTCTACGCAAGGTGTGGAGCATAATGTGGAAAAAACAGGGGGGAAATGGAGTTATGCCCCGCATAAGGAAATTTACGCCATGTACTCCCAGAAATCCTAACTTAATCATTAAGTTCTTAATACAGAAAGTTAAACCACCAAACTTCCAAATCTAAACTAGATAGACATCTTAATGGATAAAGTCTCTGACTTTATCCATTTGTATGCATACCAAGGGCACAAAATCATAACATATGTAAAAAAATTCAGCCAATGCTCCATAACTTGTGCATGGTTGAATGAGAGTGACCAAGCTCTCAAATTTATAACTTATTGTAACATTTGGTAAAAATTGGTGAGGGTTTGACGGTCAAACCACCGCGAACTACTATGTATCAAAAACCAATTGTGGATAACTTTGTGTTTATAATGTATATTAAATATATCATATTCATAATTTCTTTTAGAACATATCAAAACATATATCGTTGGAGATCGAATCGAAATCACCAAAAAAAAATTAATTTATTGGTGACGTTAAAAATAAAATTTTACATTGAGTATATCCGAGAGTTATTGATGAGAATTTTGAATATATTATGTTCTCCTAATTTTGTGGATATAAAGAACATCCAAAATGGAGATCTTATAAGAAAGTTATGCCTCTTTAAAGGATAAAAATCAATATTTATCTGATTTTTCTGAAACGAACCGTACACTGCTTCGTTTGTGATAGCTCTAAGCCTCGTAAAGTTTGGGACCAAACGTGATATTTTGACCAAACCATAGAGACAAAAAAATGCAATGAAATCAAACCATAGGGACGATCCGAGTGCAAAAAAAAAGTTAAGGACCAAACGTGTAATTTTGATCAAACTATAGGGATGATTTTAGTAATTTACTCAAATATAAAACAAGATAAAATCAAATTTTTATTTATTTATAAAATGCGGAAAAACTTTTTCCTTACAATGCAATTACAAAAGAAACCTATGTTTCTAAACATTTCCTAAGCAATCTATCACAACTCCTAGCAGCAACTCAAAAATCTGATCATTGAACCATGCGATCGAAACCCATCTCTTCGCGATCAGACTCAACTTACTCTTCCTTTAAGCTTCGTTTCTTTTCTTCGATCCTAAAATAACATCAAAATGTAATTACATTACATCATGTATTAAGAATCTCCAAATAGGAACTTAATAGAGTTAGATAGTGGACTTACTGAAGCAGAGTCAAACTCTTTGACTTTACCATCCTTATGATCCTTTAGGTAGATTCGGCAGCTTCATAACCAATGTCCCTTCTCTTGGCAATAGAAACATATGGACTATTTGGGAATGGTACACGGGACTATCTCAGACTTAACTTTTCTCTTTTCCATTTGGTCAAATGATGTGACCATGGCCGATCCCTTTCCGTGGGGAAGAGAAAACTTTTCTGGACTTCTAATGTTACCATTGTCAATGTCCATGGAAGTTTGGGAAGTATATCTTCCAATCAAATTTGCATGATCAGTGCGCCAAATCATTGTTAATTCAGCAACAATTAGCAAATATGTAAGATCGATAAGGGTCATGTCGCGGTCAGTCATATAGTAATCTTTAATGAACTCACTATATGACTCAGGGAGTGACTGAAAAACCAAGCCAACAACTAGCTTCCTTGAGACATCGACTCCTAGCATTCCTAACCTGTCAATGTGTGACTTCATCTCCAATACATGTGCACACACAGACCTTCCATCTTGGTGTTTGTTTGCCAATATGTCTTGAGTGACCTTGAACTTTTCAACTCTTTAAACTTGTGGGTTAAGGAGAAATATTGGAGGAGGTGGAGGAAGTGAAGTATGATTTTTGCGAACATCATCTTCATGAGGAAGGCTTTTTCCAAAAGATTCGGGAAGACCATAGTTGTCTGAACTAGACATCTACAAGGTAGAAATTCAAGTTTAGTTGATTTAAGTCCTTAATATAACACCCAAAATGAAATATTAAGGCTAGGACCCAACACAATATTTTACAATTCGGAAGAGTGATGTCGTAATCCAATTGCAAAATATTTAAAGGTAGGTAAATGACGATTTACCAATTTCCACCATGAAAAACAAAAAAAAGAATATTAGGTTTTAAATGGACTGAAATTCCTAGATCTTTTGATATTCATTGAACTTTTCAATGACATGTTTAATCTCGATTACGCCCTCTCAGTTTTGTGACTGGAATGCCGAGAATCACAAACAAGGTGCGAATAACCATGCAAATTAGCTTGGTACTCTCAATGTTACAAATCACCCAATAAATGTGTTGGTTAACCACACACGCTCCATTGATCCATGATTAACATCAAGCTACCCTTTTCCACCCTTGTTAGTCTCAAATTAGTGTGTCGGTTACCCACACACGCTCCACTAACGACTTAACAAGGTGCAAAGTGCAATTTCATGGAATAACATCAGATTCACATTTTTCCTAAGTAACTAAGATTGGAAATTTATAAGTGTTTAGTTACTTAGTATTTTCATTATCCTTTTAATGAGAATTAATGTCCTATCCTACCTGTTCAGCTAACGACCCTCCACCAGTCAAGGAAGCGTTGAGTGAGAGTGGACATCCATTAAACCACCATTTTATAGTAACCTTATACCCCCTTATAGACCGGCTTCGTGAATGAGGCCTACTAACGGTAAGACTGACCTTTTAATTATACATATTTAATATATTAGACTTTTAATTTTATATAGTATAAGAGTGTATTTTAAACTTTTAAAATACTTGATGGTTTAATTTATTAAAAAATTATACTCTTAATTTAATTAAACTTAAACCATATGATTATGGATTTAATAATACTCCTTTAATTAAATATTTAATTAACTATTAATAAAATCCATAAGATTTAATTGAACTTATTCAAAAAACATCAAGATGCTAAATCGAATTAAAACTATTTAATTAATTTTAAGTTATGAACCTATGAGTTACATTTTTGAAAACTTTTCAAATTCCTAGGGTTTTTATGAATTCAATGTTTCTTAACTGAGACTTTTTAACTTTTAAAACTTGAGGGAAAGTTTTGTAATTATTGAAAATCTTTTGAACTCCATAACTTAAGGAATTAATTTGTTTTATGAAGATGAAACTTTTCAAGTTCCATAACTTATGGAACTCTTTAAAAAAACTTTTGAGTTGCAAATTTGATGACAAATATTGTAACTCCTTAAAACCTTTTAGAATTTCAAAACTTAATAACAAGTTTTGTAACTCTCCAAAAAACATTTAGATCAAATTAAACTAATCCAATTATCATATAATTCATCATTTACCAATTTGACCTAGTTTATATTCAAGATAGTTTCAAATTTTACCAATAATTAGTTTTCACAAAATCAAGTAATTATCTTAAAATTTAACGGACTTCATGTTTTTGGATGGGGATAAACAGTACCATATCATTAAAACCGAATTTTATAAACCTAAACAGTTTGTGGTAATGTTCCTAATCCAAATCAGGCCAAAAACTCGAAAATTCTGCCATCGGATGCATCAACTCGTCGAGTTCCATTATGGACTCGTTGAGTTCAAGGCAAATCTCATCCAACTCGCCGAGTTCATACATGGACTCGGCGAGTTGGCCCTGGCAGAATCCCGAAATGCAGTTTTTTCAGCTTTGAAAATTACACAATTGC